CATTATTTGCTATACAAGTTGCATTAGCAGCTTTACTTGTTTCTTGGAATATTTATCCATCATTTATAATATCACATAGTGCTGCTGATCAAGCAGCTGCTTTTGTTGCTGTTGTTAATAGTCCTCGTTCAGTAACAATAAGTGGTGATGAAAAAACTATTGATGCAATACAACAAATACTTTCAATCTCTTATCCAAATGTATTTAAAGCATGTGTTCGTATTGAAAATGCATTTCATCATATCAAATGAATCGATTTGATATTGAATACGATATGTTATGATCATTAAAAAATATTCGAGGACTTCCAATACAAGATCAAAAACAAATTTTTGACCCAATATGTGCAAAAGCAAAACTTTATTCAAGTGTTATTGGTGAACAAATGAATGATGATATACTAGTTGATGGTCAAATGTAAGACAAACTGTGAGATTATAAATGTTAGTGAATGTTATGAATTAACAAACGAACAACAATAATCAACCACTTATTCTTTCAACATTAAAACGAAAAGAAGATGAACAAATAACATTACTAACGAGTTTAGCACAACTTACAACATCATCTCATGTATGGCAACAATATTTTCATACTCGTCAAATTTTATCGTTGAAAAATCATGAAGAATATTTTGGTAATTTTCCATTATATAAATTTCATTTGAGTCGATGTTAATATGAATCAAAAGATTCATCTATACAACATTTAGCTAATCGTATACCTACTTATCCATTACTTGATATTCGTTAATTAAATGAACAAACAAGTGCAACATGGAAATGTCTTATTAATATTAATCTATCACAATATTCTTTTTTAAAAGATCATAAAAGTCAAGATCTAATTCTTTTTCCAGCTGTTGCTTATCTTGAACTTGCAACAGCTGCTTGTCAACAATTACTTCCATGAAAAGATGATGAATAACAAGCAACAATTATTTTTGAACACATTAATTTTATTAAAGCACTTGTTTTTAATGAACATGAATTAATAGAAGTATTTACACAAATAATATTGCCAATGTGTGAATGGTATATTTATAGTCGACCATGGTCAACACTTGGTCCAGATTGTATGAGTTGTACTGATGTTATTGATTCATTTTGTGATCAAGATAATCTTAATAAATATTCATTAAATCAGTTTACTTTACATGCTCATGATAAAATTGATTCTAAATAACAAAATCATTAACAATACCTGATGGATGGATAACACAAGATATATCAAGTGCTTATCAATATGGATCTAGCTTTGAAAAACTAAAAACATTACGTGGTACTTCAACTGCAGTTATACCTGAATTATCAAATGATGATAAGAATTGTTCATCTTTTTATTTAGTTTATCCATATCTAGTTCTAGTACCAGGTATTGAAACAACATTTCTTTCTGTACGTATACAAAAATTTATTTATTCAAGCAAAACAAAAGCAAAAATGAATCAATCAACAAACGTTGAAGTACGTGGAAAGTATCATGATAATATATGTGATATAGGTCAAGAAGGAACATATAGTCATGATTTATGGATATTTCCAATGGATAATAAAATAGACGAATCAATATTTACATTTGAAAGCATTATTCTCCAACAAGTTTAAGGTGTAAAATCTAATCGATGGTCAACGGAAAAAACAATTTATGATAAATTAAATCTAACAACTGATTTACTTAATGTTGATCATAAAACATGTTTAGATACAATTAAAAAAGATTATTGTATGAAAAGAGTATGGACTGGTTCACCAATAACAAAAAATATATCACATTTACTTCCATCACCTAATCAAATTCTTAATAATCAACTTAATTCTATTAGTAATCAAGATTTAATTGAACCAATAGAACCATTTAATGAATTAGCTGCTTATTTTGCTCAAATGGCAATTAAAGATCTTGATTTAAATCAACAACATCATCCATTATTAAATACATGTCGTTCTCTTGCTTCAACTTTACACTCGGAACAAGTAACATGGCATTCAATACAACTTCGTGTTATTGAATTAATTGAACGTTTTCCTCGTTTAAAACCATTTTTGATAATATTAAATAAATATGGTTTACATTTAGAAGATATTCTTAATGGAGAAAAAAATGGATTAGATATATTTTTTGGTGATGATGAAATTAAACAAATTTTTCATTTGATTTGTCAACATATACAATTACAATATGAACAAACTAAAGATAATTCATTTGAGAATTATCGATTACGTATATTTTGGTTAACTGATAGTGGTTGTTCAGATGTTTTACCTATTCTTGATCTTTTTCTTAATTTGTCACAACAAACAGGTTTATTAATTGATTTATATTATGCAGATTCTGATTCAATCCAACTTGCAAATGCTCGACAAACATTTACTACACATATAAATAATCAAACAAAAAATTTCTCTATTATTTATGATAAAACAATTGATTTATATGATAGTAAAACACTTGAAAAAATACCAATAGAATCATTTCATATTATATTTTCTTCTAATCAACTTCAGGGAAATCAAGATTTAACAAAAAAGAATTCTTTAATTACTCGAAATAGTTTATATTTCTCATTATTTTCATCTTATTTTTGGTTTTATTGATCAATGGTGATCATCTGCTAATGTTGATAAAAATAATCGTGTATTAAATAATATTCAACAATGGACAAAATTATCAAAACAAATCCAAGGATTTAATATTATTGAATCAACATTAAATCAAAATGAAAGTACATTTATTATTAGTTAAAAAACAATATCAAATGATATATTACAAAGACTTGATGAACGAATAAATCAAATATGGTTAATATTTACTAAAGATGATCAAAATAATAAAAATATTTCATATTCGAAATTCGACATTAAATATTATTTGTTCTGCAATATCAGTTTTATTAACAACTTAGAAACAAATATCGATTATATTTGCATGGCAACTTGATCAAGTATTATTGAATGAAAATAATGATGACTTAGCATTTAAACAAAATGAAGAACTTCTATGTGGAATATTATTACGTATTCTTCAAACAATTAAAAAATCATCACCATATTTTCATCCATTTCTATATTTTCTTACAGATAATGTACAATTTAATAATGATTCGAATCTTAATTTAATTGCATCACCATTTATTGGTCTTGAACGAACTTTACTAACTGAATATGAACGATATCGATTAAAACTTATTGATCTTCAAACATCATTAAATAATAATAATTAATCAATATTTATTCATACTTTGATAGGATATATATGATTAGTTCAAGATAATCAACTGATACTTGTGAAGTTGTTCTTCGTCTTAATGATACAAATCAAAATGAAGTTCAACATTTAACATGGCATTATGAAATGTTACAAAATAATGATGAACAAGAGAAATCTCAATTCGAACAAATATCTATTATTCCTAAACGAGATGCTGATGAAAAAGCATTTCGTATTTGTGTACCATAATCTCGTTTTCTTTCTGAATTAACATGGATTGAAGAAGATAGAGAAAAAGCATTATTACTAGCAGGTACGGTAGAAGTTCGTGTTCATTGTGTTGGTATTAATTTTCGTGTTGTACCCAAATCACGTGGTCTTTATCTACATACACGTACTTTCGCACAATCTGTTGAAAATCAACCAAAATTCAATCGAGATACAGAACCAGGTTCAGATTTTGTTGGTACTATTGTACGTGTAGGTCCTAGAACAACTAGTTTTCAAGTTGGTGATCATGTTGTAGATTCTACTAGTCATAATACATATCACTCTTATATTATGATTAATTCACAACTTATAATACATATTTCCATCTGATTTTCCTCTTACTGATGAACAATTATGTGGTCTACCATGTCCAATTTTAACAGTTATCTATTCTCTTAAATATTCTGTTCATTTACAAGCTGGTCAAACTGTTCTTATTCATGTTGCAACAGGTGCTTCAGGTCAATGGTGTATTCAATATTGTCAATATATTGGTACTCGTGTTATTGCTACAGCTACAACTGAAGAAAAACGACGTTTTCTTCGTGAATACTATGGTATTGAACATGTATTTAATAGTCGAAATACTTCTTTTGTTAATCAAATACCTCAAATTCTTCCACAAGGTGTTGATGTTATTGTTAATTCATTATCGAGCAATTTATTAAAAGAATCAATTAAAGTATTAGCATATCATGGTTATTTTGTTGAATGGAGTAAACGAGATATTTATCATAATAGCAGTTTATCAATGTTTCAACTACGATCAGATTGTAGTTTTCATGTGATTGACTTCGCTGGACTTGCTGACCATGTATCGCCTCTTATTCGTCTTATGCTAGAAGAAACAATTGATTTATTTGTTCAACGTAAATTATGTGCTGTTGGACGAACAGTTACTTAAAAACCATCTCAACTAATAGAAGCATTATTAAGATATAAGAGTGGTCAAGTTATGGGTAAAACAGCTTTTCGTATAACTTCATCTGATCAACCATTAAATATTCATAAAAAACAAATTAATAGTTTATTAAAAGGTAATATTATCTTTTTTTTCTCTCAATTATTATTATCGTGTTTTTTTAATCAATAGTTGTAAGTGATAATACAATGTTTCCATCAGAAGTTTGTAATCAAGCAACTATTTTAATATCTGATGGTTTTGTTAGTCTTGGTTTAACAATATCTCGATGGATGATTGAACAACGAGGTGTTAAACATATAGCATTTGTGAGTCGTCGAACACTAGTTGAACTTGAAAAACCTTCGAATCCATAATATGATGATTGGTTAAGATTAAAACGAACAACAAAAGAATATAAAGCTCATGTTGATGTTGTTCAAGCAGATGTAACAGATTTTCAACAAGTTCATGATTTAATTAAAAGATTTAATAAAACTCCTTATCCTATTCGTGGTATTATTCATAGTGCTGTTGTTGCAGAAGATCGTGCTTTGAATAATTTAACACAAGAACATTCATCACTTGTTTTACCACCAAAAGTTCATGGTGCTTGGTATCTTCAGCAAGCTACACAACTGCTTCATGCACCTATTCATTTTTTTATTATGTTATCATCAATTCGAAATCATTTACTTGAAGTTGCATCTGCTGGTTATAATGCTGGTAATCAATTTCTTGATGCACTTACTTATTATCGTTTTACAAAATTTACTTTATCAGCACTTTCAGTTAGTTTACCAGCTGTAAGTGGTGCTGGAATGTTTCATCGTCATAAAGAAATGCTCAGTACTCTAAAAAAACACAAGGTTTTGAATTAATGCCAACAGTAACTGTATTCGAATTAATTGAATGTTTTCATCGAACTCAAAAGATTTGTACATGTCTTGTTATTTTTGCTGTTAATTGACAAATATTACATCGAAATTATCCAACATTAGCTACATCTTATTTAAGAAAAATAGTTGATCAACGTTATAAAGAGATGAAATTTGATCACATATCATCATCATCAGGAAAAAACAATTCCACTATGTATAGTATGAATAAAAAAGAAACTATTATTGAACGAACTCAATCAATTGTTGCACGATTATTAGGTGCAACTAATGTTGATCGTATAGTTATTGATCGTTCACTTGTTAGTCAAGGTATGGATTCATTAGCTGCTGTTTCATTATATAATTGGTTAGATCAAGAAACTGGCATTTATATACCATTAGTTGATCTTCTTCAAGGACTTTCAATTAAAACAATTGAAACACTTGTTTATAAATCGATGTGAATCTAGCACGAAAACGACGAGCTACCACGAAAAGAGAAAAATTGTCATTGGCTAACAATTAATCAATCAGAAAATCAGAACTACGAAAGCATCATTGTAGAGTACATAAATATGGACATGGCTGTCCTTAGTAACTTAATAACAGCACGAAAATTTTGTTACTCTAAAAATCATCGAAGTAAATCTAGTATTTTTGCAACGAATATACTTACCGATGTTTACCTCATTATACCATGTAAATAGAGAATGAATATTGTTTGGAATCATTATCATGTCTTTTTGACGGACAAAATAGAGTATATCGATAAACATGAACATTATATACAGGTATAAAAGCGAAAGGAAAGAGATTGAACGAATTACAAGACTGTATTATATTGTACGTTGTTGAAATGACAATAGTGAAGAAGTAATCTGTTGAATGGTTAATCAGACGAAACCTAAGCATATTCGGTATTAAAAACTGACATTCATAGATTTACAAATAATTGGATTTATACAATTAATTTTTCCTTATTCGTTCTTAATGTTGAAAGATAATTTAGAAAAAGATATTCTAAAGAAAAAATTATGGCATAATATCAGTCTGGCGACACAAAAGAAAATATTGAACCGTACGTTCCAATCATATCGTTCGTACAGTTGACTGCTGACGGACACTTCCGTTATCTTCTCGATAGAATAGCATTGTTCTTTTTGATATAGTTACATAAAAGAGATAGAAAATGAAGAGAATTCCTGCGTAATTCAATTACGTATTTGCTAAAAGCACTACAGTAGTCGGTACAGACGCTTTTGTAATATAGTTATTGGATTATTAATTCGGTGGTATCAATTAGTCAATGGCAGAAATATATATAGCGATATATGCTGCAGTTTTTAATATAACATATTTAGATTTTATTTGTTTCTCGTTCAGTTATATTTATACAATGTTATCTTTCTCAACTATTATAATTTCAGTTGCAGCTTTGGGATGTATTTCGGCGGCAGAGGTTTGCAATATTTTAATACAATTACGAGGGGAAAACAACAGAGAGTTCATGCTTGAAGTCTCATGAAATCTTGCGAATCCTCATGAAGTTGTATGTAATCTCGTGAAGCCTTGTGAAATCCTTTAAGTCTTTGAAGTTTTATGAAATCCTTAAAATCTCTAGAAGTCTCATGAAATCCTTAAAGTCTCTAGAAGTGTGATGAAGTCGTGTGAAATCTCGTGAAGTTTTCTGAAATCTTGAAATTCTATTGCAGTTTTGGAAGTCTCTTGAAATATTTGAAGTCTTTGGAAATCTTGGGAGTCTATGGAAGTTTTGGGAAGTCTCATAAAGTCTTATGAAATCTCGTGAAGTCTTATGAAATCCTTGAAGGCTCTAGGAGTCTTTGAAGTTTTATGAACTCTTATAAAGTTCTTAAAGTCTCTAGAAGTCTTGCGAACTCTCATGAAGTTGTATGAAATCTCCTGAAGTCTTTGAAAATCTTGAAAGTTTACTGAAGTTTTGAAGGTCTTTTGAAGTCTTGCAGTCCGCTGTTTCCTCGTAGTTTATTTATTGTTAAAAATTTTTATTGTAGGTAAAAGGGTTCAAAGATTTTGCTGAATTTATAGTATCAGGTCAAATACGTAGTGTTGCAGCAAAATTAACAAATATGTCGAGCATAGCATCTGTGTCAACAGACACATCTTTTAACTGGCTTTATATTTTAAAGATTGGGGCTTCTTTTCTTGGTGCTTTATTGTCGGGGAGTAGTTTTTACTGTTTATTCAAATGTTGTCGTAATCATTGTGAATGCAAAGTAAAATTCTATATTTTTCGTAACAGCTTCTATCATATCGATAATATTTATAGCGTACATGGTGGGAGTTAAAGTATAAGAACTATGAGCACCGGCATGAAAAAAATCAAGGTAAGATTTCTTATTGAAAACGGTGTAATACTTATATATAGTTATTTTAGTTAATTCATATGAAACTATTGAGTTAGGTATAATGTAGGTACATCAATAGTTAAAATGTTTGATATTTGTAATATCATCCAATTAAATTGTATATAAATTTGATTTTTTTTTAATTTGTTTGATAAGGAATATGAATAAAAATGCTCGATTCTCAACATATATTATGAGCATATATTTACATCATAACGTAATACACACCTTTTATTAAGAGCAATATCAGTCAGAGAAAAAAGCAATGTAAAATTCTACTATTCTTGGTGCTACTTGTGCATAAATAAATATAAAGTTGTTATGGACGTACGCATATATATATATGTTGACCTACTTTCCTTTTCTGCCCAGCTGTTCATATCTCTATATATTCTCTTCTTTCTTTCTTTGTTCTTTTAACTTGCGTACTTCATCTTTATTATTTCATTGCAAATAAGAAGGAGATATTATTTGCAAATACTAACTAAGTAATCTATTCTATTTGATAAATTGATAAATACATAAATAGATACGTTTAAAAGGTGAAACAAGTAACATAAAAATCGCAGAAACTAATTAAAAGTAAAAATGGTATGATTGTTCGTTTGAATTTAGAACATTACAATTGATTGCTTTCCACTAATGTTTTGATATTAGCGGCTGTTGATAATATTATAGTCTATATTTATGTTTGTCAAATTTGATCGATGTATTCAGTATGCAATATATTCAGATTTGTTTGAAGTTTGTTAAGTTGTTTTTGTATTTTAGCTTTGGAGTATTTAAGTATTAATATTAGAATACCAAATACCATGGATAAGATAATGGAAATAATCAAGCTTAAAAATTCTTCTATATTTTCTTTAAATGAAAAACGGTCTACTTTCATCTTAGATTTTAATTTTCTGAAAGATGTTTCTGCTGCTATTTCAGAAATAGATAGTAGATGTTTCATAATTCTTTTAATTGATATTGGTGTAGTAAAATGTATATTTGAATTATTATTGTTCATTGTTTTTAATGTAACAGTAGTTTTGAGACATTGTATAGATGGTAAAACGATGTGTGAACAATGAATTGTGTGTTCACATGGAAGTTTTAGTATCGATGGTTCACTTACAGATATTGTGTTTGCACTACCGGTGAGTGCTGAGTGCACGACACATTCATAGGATTCGTCATTAGAATAAAACAACCAAATGTCATTTTTTATATTCATAATACTAGGTTGTGTATATGTTGAACGAGTTACTTCACATCTAGCATCAGAGTCTGCTGTAGTATCTAAAATGTCAGAGACGCAGGCAACAGATGACAATGGTATACTTATTGGAATTTTTCGACATTGTATTATATCAGAAACAATGCAGTCAGATACGAAATTATTCTCGTTCCATTGAACAATTGTTTTGTCAATAGTATTGACACCAAGAATGTTTGGTAAAGATGAATATACATATTTTTGTCCATCGATTGTAATCGGTAACGGTATCGTACGATAGACGTTGTAAACAGATGATGTTTTTACTGGGATCTTACGAAATAAAGTAGAAACTGCTAAACATGAAGAATCTTTTGATAGTCTATCAATACGGGAAAGTGAACATGATTTTAAAGCGTATACGGTTTGTCCAATAATCATCTTTTTGAATTGAGTTAAGCTTTCATGAGAATGATTCAAATCAAATTGTTCCTGTAGAGATAGCATTGGTAATGATAAAATTTCGAGAATTTGATCTTTTGTCAAAAAATCATATCCGATTTTATCTTGAAATAATTGTTTGAGAACTAGATTTATAGGATTCGCAGTATATTGTAGTAACTTTTGGTGGTGAATATCTATAGTACCATCATGAAATGTGTCTTTATTCATATTTTTTGTAACATAAAAATTGTTGTCAAAGTAATAAATCATAGATTTAGTATTATCTATAAATTTTTCAACTTGATGATGCGATAAAATTCTTTCAATGTCTAAATTTATAATAGTCGACACATTTCCTTTATCATATCTTGAAAATAAAATATTTTCGACCGAGATAATTGTTCCAATTTCAACCAAATCCGAATTTGATTTTTCAATATGTTGACAAACATTAGAATTTGGAGAGTCGAGACAATAATTATTTATTGGTATAAATATATGCAAAACTACTTCTTCCAATTGTTCGGAATAGTAACCAATTTGATCGAACGCAACACCCTTATCTATATTAATGATGAGTGTTGTCGATAATGAACTTACTAAGATAGTTAGCTCACCGCTGAGTAACATGCAAACCGTTAAATAAGCCAGAAGCATATTTATTATGTGGATTTCAAATCTAAAATATTGCCAATGATCAATATTGAAATAACAAAGTTTTATACTTTAATATATATAAGCGTATATAAGCAGATTATTTTTGTAAAAACGATTAGATGCTCAGAAGCATGTAATTACAAAATTACTACATTCCTAAATTGCAGATTGTGTTTTACTGCAATCAACTTCATAAAATCATACATCTGATTGTTGCAAGATATTTTTTATTTTAAGGAAATCATTCAAAATATTGCTTTCGCTGGCAAAAAAATAACTAAGTTGACCTCGGAGTAATAGTAGACAATACTCACCAATGATTTTTGTTTAGTAGAATGACTCTTGGTATTAACCATCGGTCAAATAGAAACATACAAAGGTCGATCGGGCACACAGTTTCATTGGCTTGTTGTGAATAGTATCCTCTTAATCTTTTTCTAGTAAAAAAAAACAAAAACGTATCGTGACCTCAACTAGTCGAACAGATATAAGATATATGAGAAGGATAAACTTACCAATTGTATCAGGTACGCTTATATATATAAATTTATTATAAAGCTAGAAGAATTATTAAATCTAGTAGTCAATGTATTATATACATTCTTTTATATAGTAGATTAAACTATATTTTACTTCGATATGATCTATTAAAAGAGATCAATTAAATCTTAGTTAGCAATATGTATTAATGATTGAGTTCTGACATGAAAATTCGCGTTTGTTAATGGAAGTTTTTTTAAAAATTAAAACACAAGATATTTTAGATAATGCCACCGAAATCTAGAATTGATGAAAAAGCTTTCCAAAAGGCACTTCAATCACTTCGTATTGATGAATTGCATTTGTTGGATTCAAGTACATCTACCGGTGGCGTATGGGGACGTCTATGTATTGAAATGAGTAAACCAGATAATATTGAGAATCGGCGTGCCTGTTATGATGCGTGGAAAAAAAAAAGATACAACTCACATGATATAGTCAGTAGCATTTTACAAGTGCGTATTTGAAATTTCAATATAGAAATTATATAATTAACATCTTATGTCGTTTCAGGAAGTACAACAATCTACGAACATTGAGACTGTGCAAAACGAAGTTCCTGAAGAAAATCTAAGTTGCGACGAACCATCGGTTAGTATGAATATTATTTAATTTTAAACAGCACGTGTTACATGTTATATATTGTAATTGAAATTTTATTATTTTCTTAGACACAACAAACGAAGATAGGTACACATATTAATATTACACAATCTACTTCATCGACGCCAACAACATGTACTGCCACTACCAATGATAATCAGCTTACAGAAATACCTGTGAGTGGAATTGTATAAGATATTTTTAGCAGTTTTGCCAATACTGATGTTCTTTTTCTTTTTGAATTTAATAAAAGTAAGATAAATGAATAGTAGTTACAATGCGCCGTAGAAAATAACATTAAAATACCAGTTCATATAAAAAAATAAACAATTTTTCATGTAAAACAAGAAAATAAAATAGATAATGTGACAACTATAATATAAGATCAATGATGGCAATCTTCTAAATATAGAATAATATAACTAGATATTTCTCTTAAAAGTTTGAATAGCTGATCTAGTTTCGTTTGAAAAAAAAAGATATACTATAATGATGATGATTTGGTAGATGTTTTGTTTATATATATGTCATTTGATCTAGAAAAGAAAATAATACGTAAGTTTTTTAAGTAAGAATTTCAACGTATATGATATATAAACTCCGAATAATAAATAAAGCTATACCTCATCTAAGATATATTTTAACTTTACTGTTTTACAGAATCTGTTAGTCGACTCAACGGCAAATCAATACGAACAGTTCATTGAAAATTTACAGAGATTTGTAGCTGAACAAAAACATAACATATCTATCAACTACACTCATGACTTCAATTCTACCAATTGTTCTGGTGCTATTATTTCAATGCAAGTTAATTGCAAATGTGCAGAAACATTTTCTAATATGGATAATCAGGAGATAACTTCATTCAATTCATTTAAACCAATTAATGTAAGATAAGATTAAATATTAATATTTTATGTTAAATCATTTTTCATTAGAATAAAAAACATTCTCATTTACAGAAAATACCTGTACAAAATGCCTTTAGTCCTGAATATGAACCACCAATAAACAACACATATACTGTTGAAGTAATCTGCGAATATCTCGTCATATCTTACCAAATTTAAAAGATGCGTATTTACTTTTAGAAAGAAGAGATTGTGATGTCAAATTTTATCATTGATGATAATGATGATGACAAAATAAGTAATATAGCATCACCTATATGTGATGCCCCTCAACTCTACATGTCACCGGTGTCATCGGTAAATAATTGGAAATATAATGAAATGAGAAAAAAATCTTTTTTTTAGGCATCACCTATAACATCTTCAAAAATTATTAGTTGTGATTCATCACCATTGAAAACCAGCAAATTAAGTGCTGTATCTCATGCATTCAATAAATTAAAGGTAAAATTTTAGTTATTATAATCGTAGATAATCTTTTAAATAATTACTCGTATACACAACGTTCTCATCGTACCTTGGAGTTTGGTTAGTTAAATCACTAAAACTAAATTTTTTACTATATAATATATTGTATTATAAAGAACTTACGTGTCAATGAGATTCATTCTCGTTTAGAATATGATAAGTCCCAATAAAGTTAATGATCATAGTAATATCACTGACGATCAACGCGATGTTCTATTAATGTTACAACGTCGAAATAACAATAAATCTGTTTTCACTATAGATATTAATGAGATTCAAGAAGCCGAAAGATCTAAAAATATAATTATCTCTCAAAATCATATGGAAACACTTAGAGAAGTTAATGCTGCAGAAATCGAAAAGAAAGAAAATAAAAATATAACAAATGATTTAGATGATGGCATTAACATCAAAACTCGTAAAAGAAATCTTGAATGGATTACAATTTTAAATCTATATATTGCAAAAACAAATGATTATTGCGTATTTGTGTACGAGAGGCACTATTTTGCGACTCGAAGTAGTACAGAAAACATGCTGCAATTATTTATGAATGCAGATGCACATTGTCAGTTTTCAACATGCTCCTGTAGACTACATGCTATTATAAGTGAAAATGGAAAATTGAAAGTTGACTATTCGGGTGAAATAATTCATGATCCAAGTGAACTTCACTCACGACCAGTTCGTGGTAGTCAACGAGATGAATTGCAAAAATATACATTACTTGGTAGTACGCCTAGTGCTGTACGACTTCATCAATTAAAGGGAATGTCTCCCGCTAATAAAGCAGCTGGAAACAGAAATGCTGTAGGATCAAGTGCATCTGTAATTCGAAAGATTGCAAGTGAAGCTAATGTTAAACTTCGTCGTGACAAAGACCTAAATGAAAGTCTTAAACAGTTGAAGGTTGAACAAGCTACTAAAATCTTTCCTGCTGAATCAATACGTGGTTATTTGCAAGAGTTTAATATAGAACCCTTACGTCTCGTTTGCTTCACAGCAGCCGGTATTGCTATTTACAATAAATTTGCATCGAGCATGCCTCTATCATGGGACGCCACTGGTGGAATCATCGTTAATCGTACTAGGAAAATATTTTATTACGAATTAACAATATCGAATCTTATTAAAGGTGGTCCATCTCTACCGCTAACAGCCATGATTAGTGCATCACATGGCACTATGGATATTATACATTGGTTAAACTGTTTTATTGCAAAATATAAAGAAGCATATGGTTACTCAGATGTTTTCCCTAAACCACCTGTTATCCACAGCGATCGAGCTTTAGTATTTTTACTTGCCGGTATTCAAATATTCAATAATGATGAAACAATGGACCGTTACATTGAAAGATGTTGGCGTATTGTCAATAAAACAGCTACGAAACGTGATTTGGAAATAACTGTTCTTCATGCTTGCCTCGGACATTTCATGAAAAATGTTAAACGAAATGCTGCCAAAGAACTTGCAAAAAAACAGGTCAAGTCTAAACACATTTTTGTATTTAAATATTAAATTAAAAATTGTCTTACCTTTTCTCTTAGATACCATTTGGCATGTGGTTAATGGCCTTACTTGTGAACAGCAATACATTGGATGAAATGATCGTTATATGGCGAAATATTTGCTTTGTCCTGTTAAGTCCAAATCAAAATGACCGCTTTAAAATGGCTATATCGACGTTATCAAAACTAGCCGAACAAATGAATGGAGATCCAGAGAAAACCAACTATATTCTTCAAAATGTCACAGTAACATCACATGCTTCAGTAACAGACAAGCTAAACGAACAAGTATGTAAAAAATCTAGAAATAAGAATAAATATATTTTTCGATGAAACAGTACAAGAAACTTATTAATAATCATATTTATTTAGGCAGACGATGATGGTACTAATGATGATGGGTTGGGAGAAGAAGAAGCTGTGGCGAATATGGAATCATCATTTAAAGCATTATTTACAAGCATCTATCAGGAAACTAAAGAAATTTTAAAACATTATAATAATCAACAATGGCAAGAATTGCCACCTAATCCTTTATTTTCAGCAGGATATTTAATACGTCTTCTTAAGCAATATATGGGTATAGCTCCTATTTGGAGTAACTTGCTACTCGGTAATTTTGCTCAGCGATATGATTATTCATCTAATGACGTACGAACACCTTGTATGTGTCATGTTGGCCGCACAACCGGTGTTTCAGAATCACAAATGCGTGTTCTGAAAGAAACTATTCTTCATAAGAAAGTTTATACTCGAGTTGACGAAGTTATATCCTTAATGGGAGAAACAATTGAGGCTATCGAAATTCAGTTCACTGATTATATATTTATGAATAAACAAAAAAATCGTGTATTACCTGCTAAACGACATAAACCAGCACAAGAAGCATGGAATAAACGTAAGCCAACGAAGAAACAAAAAGGTGTATATACTTCTGAAAAACCACCAAGCAATCTGGTTCATATGATGAATAGTCAACTGTTGAAGAAAAATGATGATATTCTCTTAGGTAAATAAATACAAATAATCGTTCTTCTATAGTTCTAAGTACATAGTATCAATCTATCTTTCTTGATACACTCTTTGTTTCTCCTCTCTGTCTTGCTTCTGTTCGCTTTCTTCTACTCATCATATGTCTCACATAATGAGATATATGTACCTGAACTATTCGTAGAAATAAAGAACAAGAAAATTTTCAAAGCTACTATATTTTTATTTACTTATCTTAGATGCTGAACAGCCGACACAACACTTTCGATTTGAAAATAAAGAAAAAAATAGTTGGTTTAACAGTGTTTGTCAAATGGTTTTTGCATCTAGAAATTTAGTTGAAACAATCACTCAATTTGGTAGTATCCCAGCTTCTGCTTCAGTCTCAGATGCAATAACTGTTACAGGAAGTATTCTACACTCCTTCGTGACAAAATCCTCTTATGTTGAAGGTAAAGATGCAGTTGTTGTTGCCGAGTCAATAGGGCAACTACTTGGACATCTTCGATGGGCTGGTGTTAAAATCTGCTCTCGTGACAATGAGTGTGTCTTCAAATTTTTCGTAACTGCTATTGTATCAACTCTGCTATATTACAAAGTTGATTTACAATTTACTCTGAATACTTCAATGGAATGTTCTTCATGTGGAATATCAAGTATTATTACTACACAGATATGCGACTTTTTACTCTTACAAAAGATCGGGACTGAAGACATCTTAGATAATGTAGTAGCTGACTTATTTGGGAGAACATTACAGAAGTACACATGTCCAGAATGCTCAGACGAAGGTCCACACTATAGTTCAATGATACTAAGCAACTGTTCCAAGCATTTTTTTGTTCGTCCACAATCAGCGGGGGCAACAGCTCATAATGTATTCAGACTAACACCTCGTATAAATATTTCGAAAATTATTTCAAACAAGATTATACATACGAGTTCGTATGCTCGGTATACTCTTCAATCATTTATAACATTTTATGAAAAGAATAAAGATCGTCAATACGTTACTTACACTCGTAAAAAAGAAGGCTGGTTTCGACTCGATGATATGGATGTAAAAGTTATTACAAGTACAAGTATCTTTCAAGATGAATTTAAATGTCTTCCAGTTGTATTAGCTCATTATATACGTCCTTCAGAAACGGATGTATTTTCAACGACGTTATTTAATGTTTTGACAAATTTTTCTCGTCCACAACCGGTGCTGCTACCAACATTATCTTTGAACGACGCAGTGAACTACTTTGTACAAAAGAACATTATAGAAAATAATCCACTTACTCTGGTGGTTGTGAAATATTATAATTGTGCATTTTGTAAAAAAGGTAAAGTAAAATAGTTGAAAACATTTCAGTCATAAGTTGTGAGAAGAAGGATATCATTGATCTATAATTAATTAATTTTATTAAAATTATTTTGTATATTTACTCATTTTAGAAACATATGCTGTTGATAGAATGCATGAAATTTGGTCAATGAGGAGCACTGCAACACATATCAATGATAAAATGGCCAGTTTTGTTCGTAAAAAGATTATTTGTTCATCTTGTCAAAAACCAGGTCTAACAAATTCGGTTGTATATGACATACCCAAATTTCTTGTACTTAATACCAGAAGCAATGATGCAGATTGTGTTAAATTAATTGATGAAGTCGATTTATTATTTGTGCAACCAATAGATATGTCTCTATCTTTTGAATATAGTATACAAACTGCGATTATTGTACTTGAAGAAGATCAAGTTATATATCTAAGAAAAAATGGAAATAATTATTTATCTTACAATAAAACTACTAATCAATTTGAAGCCATAATCGATTTAACTACGCAACAAACAGGATTAGCATCAAATTGGACAATATTCATCTATAAAACAGAAGCTGTTATTTTCGATTCACTAAAACTTGAAACTATCGTACTTGATCAAAGTAATCTTCAATCGGCACCGAACGTTGACGTGTTGTGCATTGGTGTAGTTCAAGGTCTCCTACCTTTGTTTCCACGTCCATTCAAAGTAAGTTCTATACAAATGGAGCAACGTGACATCAACATTTTACTTAACGAATCTGGAAATATCAACGATTTAATTGTCAATAGTCATCTACGACTCATTGCATCCAATGCTCCAGCAAATAATTTCGTTTTGGTACTAGATAGTTTACTAGTCTCAAATATTCTCAGAAAGGATCTCAAACGTTTCGATGCTACATGGTTTAATTACGATATTATTCTGTGCCCTATACAACAGAATAATCATTGGTATCTAATAATTCTTGATATTAAAAAAAAATTGATAGTAGAAGTGGATACCTTGTCTACGGTGGATATTCCACGTACTCAAAATCTTACCCGTTTATTACATGTTCTTAACATTCAGTGGTTATTGCGTCATAAAACGGCAATCAACTTCGAACAGCACTGGAAACTAGCTACTCCCATTATAGATAAAAAATTCCAGCAGACTGATGCACATTCATGTGGTGTGCATCTTTTAATTCAAGCTCGAGCATACGTTAACAATTATAAATTCGTCCATATTCCTCAAGACAAGATTCGTCTATATCGGTATCAACTAGCTGAAGATATTCTTCGACAGGCTGAACTCCTATCAGACAGTTCTGATTCTGAAGTAAGTTATTAATTTTGATACACAAAATACTAAAATCAAGTTATTATTTATAGTTGCCTGATTTAATGACATCCTCGAAAAAAAAGCAAACGTCGAAAAAGACTTACACTCAGAAAAAAAAACATACAACATCATAGCATAACTTTTAAAATAAAACCATTATTTAATCAAATAATAAACATAATCATCACGAACAATAACATAATAATATAAAACTGAATTATAAAAAACCTTCCCATATACGCATGTTCCACATTTCATCGCACAACACAGCCGCTTATCATTTTCCGCGAACCATTCACAAACAAGCAAATCTAAGCGAAAATTACACCATATTTGAGAAAAAGAGTAATTGCATATGCAATAACCTGACCGCTTCACCCTATATCAATCACCCATCCAAATATTTTTATTCCTACCCGATAGGTCATTTCAACATTAATTACTTGACCGCTGACCGCTTAGTCCGTCCTATGCAACAGAAACGTCACCTCAGCTCGTACACATAAACTGCACTTTCCTTCACAATTAATCCTCACGACCATTTAATTTCACCACTACACTTTCTTTGCATACAACAAACACATGCTCGAACTATTTTTTCAATCATACATCCTCCCATGAAAGATATAATTAAAGAGAGAATATGCTTCTTAAGAAATATGGCCGGGAGATAATGAATATAGCATTCGATAGAGAATTAAA